CTGGGTTGCAGATTTGATCCCCAGCCCTGATCAGGGTCCTGTGGGAGGCAACCAGTTGATATTTCTCACATCGATATTTCTCTCTCCCTCCCTCCTTCCCTACCACTGTATCTAAAACTCAATGAAAAAATATCCTCAGGTGAGAATTAACATAAAAACAATTTTCTGGCTGAGACCCAGCTGGGTAGGTCAGTTGGTTCGAGTGTCCTCCTGAAAAGCCAAGGGTGCGGGTTCGAGCCCCAGTCAGGGCACAAATGAGAATCAATCAATGAATACATAAATAAGTGGAACAACGAATCTATGTTTCTCTCTCTTTCTCTCCACCTCTCCCTCCTCCTTCCCTTTCTATCCCTTTCTCTCCTTTCTTCTCTAAAATCAATAAATTAAAAAAAATTGGGGGCTGATAGTTGAAATGTTTATTCCACAGTAATTTAATGTAACAGTTGATGCATTTGGGTTTTGTGCTTTTCTTTGTCTCACTTGTTCTTGTTTTTAATTCTCACTCGAGGATATTTTTCTATTTATCTTCAGATAGAGTGGGAGGGAAGAAGGGAGAGAGAGAAACATTGATGTAAGAGGGAAGGAGGGAGAGGGAGAGAGAGAGAAACACTGACGTGAGAGGGACACATCAACCGGTTGCCCCCAACCAGGGCCGGGGACAAACCGTAACCAAAGTACATGCCCTTGACCAGAATTGAACCCGAGACTCATTGGTCCGCTGGCCGATGCTCTATCCACTGAACTAAACTGGCCAGGGCACCTCATTTGTTCTTTTTTTTTTTTTTATCCTCACCCAAGGACACTTCTCCAGTTTTTGTTCAGATAGAGTGGGAGGGGGAGAGAGAGAAACATCGACATGAAAGGAACACATTGAGTGGTTGCCACTCGCACGACCCAACCAGGGCCAGGGACAAACTGCAACCGAGGTATGTGCCCTTAGCAGGAACCGAACCCGGGTCTCTCTGGACCGCAGGCCGACGCTCTAATCACTGAGCAAACCGGCCAGGGCACCTCACTTGTTCTTTACCCAGAACTTTAAAAATACTTTCCATTGCCTGGCCATTGTGGCTCAGTGGTTGAGCATTGACCCATGTACCAAGAGGTCACTGGTCAGGGCACATGCCCAGGTTGTGGGCCTGATCCCCAGTGGGGGGCATGCAGGAGGCGGCCAATCGATGTTCTCTCTCATCGATGTTTCCATCTCTCTTTCCCTCTCCCTTCCTCTCTCTCTAAAATCAATAAAGAAAAAAGGGGAGGGGGGTACCAAATTGATGGACTGTTCTTGAAACTGGTTACAAGCTCACCAAACCGGTCCTTTCCCTTCCTTTACACCCCGTTTCTCTTGCGTGTAAGCTGGCCCACGTAAATTAGTTTGGGGCGATGAAAATGATCAGAAGTGACTGTGAAATTGTGTCTTCACTGTTTTCTCATTTTGTGCTTCTTCCTGCTATGGCCTCCTTGGACCTAGGTGGTACCAGTTCCCCACCTCCCCAGAATCCAGTGCTCCCTGGTGGGCTGCCGGTTCAGGGGGTGGACTGACTAAACCTCGATGAGGACAAGTCCTGGTAACCTCTAGCTGATGCACAGCAAGCTGGGCCATCTCACGATCACATATTTGTACTGCTCTGAAGGCCACAGGGGAGTCAGGAGAGAAGGACATTCTGCTTCCTGTGATAAAGATTCCCTCCTCCAGCAACATGTACTCAGGCTCTTCTGAACTCCCTTCTCCACTGGACCCTGACTTCTGGACTTCTGTCTACAGCATCTAATTTTAGCGAGACTCCTGCTGAGTCAGGTTAACAAAAACCCACCACCCTCTCTATATTTCATCATCTAATCAGGTAACTCATCCCCACCCCACCCCCCAGGCGATGTCTGATCACCAGGGCTGCCTTCAGCAACAATCCTGTTAGGTCCATGTAGCCTCACCCCCATGTTTACACTCAGTACTTTTCCATCCACTGACCCCCCACCCTGCTCCTTCGCTGTACAGCCCCACTTTTCCTTGTTATATTTGGAATTGGTGCCAATCTCCCTCTCTCTCTCATTTGTGGACAAAAAACAAGTACTGTAATAAATCTAACCAAAAGTAACCTCACAGGGTGATCTGATCATAAATTCCTAACTGGGCAGGTCCTGTTGGGTAGTCATGCCCCAAGCATATAACTTCTTCATTAAGAGGAGTTTAAGCAAACCCTGTCCATTGTTTCTGTGCATCTAGGTTAACACACCTTTGAAACGCCAGAGTAATCCTCTTTTCCAGACTTCTCAGAGGGAAAACCACCCTCATGGTAGCAGCACCGATCTTGTTGATTATCCTGTGCCTTGCTTTCTCCCACCTTAATGTAATCCTTCTTGGGTTTCTTCCTTAATTCCACGTACATACAGGAAAACGACAGAACTGTCCTTCTCTGGAGCGTTTGAGATCTTGCTTCCCAGTAATGTTATCAGTTTGGCTCAAATAAATTCTTTTCCTGGTGCATGGGTTGATGCTTAACCACTGAGCCACACCAGCTGGGCTCAAATAAAATTTTTTTTTATCCTCACCTGAGCACATTTTTCCATTTTTTGTTCACATAGAGTGGGAGGGAGAGAGAGGAAGAGAGAGAGAGAAACATCGACGTGAAAGGGACCCATCGAGTGGCTGCCACCCGCACGACCAACCAGGGCCGGGGATAAACTACAACCGAGGTACGTGCCCTTAGTGGGAACCGAACCCAAGTCTCTCTGGACCGCAGGCCAATGCTCTAACCGCTGAACCAAACTGGCCAGGGCCTCAAATAAATTCTTATAGAAATTCTCTACAGGTTTGGATGTTCTCATGTGGACGCACTTTAAGGTCCTATTGCAGTGTTCCCTATAAAGTCAGCCTTACTATTCTTTTTATTATTATTTTTTTTATCCTCACCCGAGGATATTTTTCCATTTTTTTGTACAGATAGAGTGGGAGGGAGAGAGAGGAAGGGAGAGAGAGAGAGAAACATCGACGTGAAGGGACACATCGAGTGGCTGCCACCCACACGACCAACCAGGGCCAGGGACAAACTGCAACCGAAGTACATGCCCTTAGTGGGAACCGAACCCGGGTCTCTCCGGACCACAGGCGGACGCTCTAATCACTGAGCCAAACTGGCCAGGGCAGCCTTACTATTCTTTTTTAATTCTCACCCAAGGATATTTTTCCATTGATTTTTAGAGAGAGTGGATGGGAGGGAGGGAGGAACATTGACATGAGGGAGACATATCAGTGGGTTGCCTCCCACACAACCCTGACTGGGGCCCAGACTGAACCTGCAACCCAGGTACGTGCCCTTGATCAGGAATCACACCTCATCACCCTTCCGTCCTCAGGCCAGCACTCTAACCGCTGAGCCAAGCCGGCCAGGGCAGCCTTATTATCCTTTAACAAGCATCTTGAGTAACTTATTTAAAGCCTGAGAACTAGAAGTGAGTGATGACACGTCATCTCATGTCACACACTTGAAAGCATGGCAACGCCTCTATTCACTTATGACTGAGGGCATTCGGGCCTGGTGCTCTCAAATGTTGAATCATGTAGCCTGTAAGAATCTGTCCCTTGGGCAACAGGCCCTCCTGGAGTTTATAAAACTCTCCTGCGTGATATATTTTCAAGAGTAAAATAGCCAGCCCTGGCCAGTTTGGTTCAGCAGTTGGAGCATCGGCCTGCAGACCAATGAGTGGCGGGTTCAATTCCCGCCAAGGGGACGTACTTCAGTTGTGGTTTGTCCCCAGCCCTGGTTGGGGTCATGCAGGAGGCAACCAACTGATGTGTCCCCCTCACATCAATGTTTCTCTCTCTCTCTCTCTCTCTCTCTCTCTCTCTCTCTCTCTCTCTCTCTCTCTCTCTCCCTCCCTTCCTCCCTCTCTCCCCACTCCCCCTCTAACTGAAGATATTTGAGAAAATATCCTTGGGTGAGGATTTAAAACAAGAAAATAAAATAAAATAGCCAAATGGTAAAAGGTGTGCTTTCATGTAAAAATTATCATGATCTATAGAGCTACTTGCTGAATTAGTAGTTGTATTTTATATGTTGACAAATATCCCTAATACCTTGCAGAGAGGCGGCTCTGGCTTTTCCTCCCAGCAGTGTTCCTGACATGATGATTGTAACAGTAACAACAGCTCCAAGTGTCAAGCAGTAACTATGTCCCAGGCCCTGTTACCTACCACGAGATACGTAGTATTATTTTCCCTAGTTTATTACTGAATTTCATGAGTCTCTTTACTCAACCTGCAGTCCCTGGAGCCCTTGTTGGCACACAGAACACTGGGCCCAGCCCAAGAACTTGAATGTGTGATCAATTCCCAGATGATGCTGATGTTCCCGGTTTGAGGAGCGTTGAACGGGAGCAACCCTTAAAGCTAGTACAGTGCGTGGACCCCGCATGTTACGCATTATCGTGAGTCTAAGGAGCGGGGAGTGGAGCGGTGCAGGGCTCCCCGCGCCCACAGAGGCGTTCAGTGAGTCGTCCGCAGACCTCCAGGGCGGGCGGGGCTGGGCCCCAGCAGCCCCAGCAGTCTGGGGACACCCCTGGAAGAGGAAAAGCTGGCGGTGCCGCTGGGCCAATGCCGCGGAGGCGCAGCGAGGGTGGCTCCCGGGCGGAGGCAGGACGGAGAGGCTGGCGCTGGGCCAATGACAGCCCCGGAGAGCGCGGCTCCGGCGGGGCGATGGGGCCGGAACTTCCTGCACTTCAGCCCGCAAGTCACTTCCCCAGCGGGTCCGTGCAGCCCGGGTGGGCGCTTCCCAGGCGGCCTTTGGGACCTCGCGGCCCGGACAGCGAGCGAGGCCGGGACCCTCCCCCGCACCTTCCCGAGAGCCGCGATCGCCGCGCGCGGGGTCCCCCAGCGTCCACACGGCCGCGCCCTCCAAGGCTCCCGGGCTGCCTGAGCCTTGTGCACCCCGCAAGCTGAGGCTGGGGGTGCGGCCAGCAGCCGGGGCACACCTCGCCCCGCGACACCCGCCTGGTTACCCGCCTCCATGGCTGCGGCGCGGGCGCTGAGGGACCCGGCGCAGGTGAGTGGCCGCGCTCCGGAGGTGCTCAGACCCCCGCCCGCAGGCACCTGGCTGGGGACAGGGGAGGTGGGCTTGGTCTGTGGCTTTCCTTCTCCTTTCCCTTCGCTGTGCTTTTGAATCTGGAGCCCTGGAGGGGCGTCCCTCCCGGCGTGGGTCCAGAGGCCAGGCCAAGGACGATACAGCGCGGTTCCCACTCCCGCAACGTAGTGGGATGAGTGGGAACGGTCCTAGGCGCAAGGACCAGAGCAGCAAATGCCCCCGGCGAGGCTGAGAGCAAGGTGGGCCCAGGCGAGCTGAGGAGCGGGCCTGTGTGTTCTGGAGGGGGTGGGAGCACAGGTTCAGAGCAGAGGAGGAAGGTCCTCTGACTCAGGTCTTATTCCTACGGATGCAGAGTGGAAAAGTGGGGTGAGGCTACAGCAATGTCCAGGTGCGTAGTGCAGGTGGCTGCAGGTAGCCCTGGCCGGTTTGGCTCAGCGGTTAGAGCGTCGGCCTGCGGTCCCGAGAGACCCGTTTCGGTTCCCTCTAAGGGCGCGTATCTTGGTTGCAGTTTGTCCCCAGCCCTGTTTGGTCGTGCAGGTGGCAGCCACTCGATGTGTCTCTCTCACGTTGATGTTTCTCTCTCTCTCTCTCTTCCTCCCCCTATCTGAAGATAAATGCAAAAATGTCCTTGGGTGAGGATAAAAGAAAAAGAAAAAGAAAAAGAATATTAGAAGTGATTGGATTTTGGGTCTGTCTTTTGTTGTAAATCCTCACCCGAGGATGTTTTTTCTACTGCTTTTATTTATTTATTTATTTTTTAATCCTCTCCTGAGGACATTTTTCCATGTTTTGTTCAGATAGAGTGGGAGGGAGAGAGAGAGAGAGAGAGAGAAACATCGACGTGAAAGGGACACATCGAGTGGCTGCCACCCGCACGACCAACCAGGGCCAGGGACAAACTGCAACCGAGGTACGTGCCCTTAGCGGGAACCGAACCCAGGTCTCTCGGGACCGCAGGCCGACGCTCTAACCGCTGAGCCAAACCGGCAAGGGCGCTTTTTTCTTTTTTTTTTTTTTTTTTATAGAGTGTGAAAGGGAGGAAGGGAGAGAGAGAAACATCCACATGAGAGAGACATATTGATTGGTTGCCTCCTGCTGGAGCCTCCACCAGGCCAAGGATAGAACCTGTAACCCAAGTACTACCCTTGACCCGGAATCGAACCCACAACTCCTCCATGCACAGGCCAAGACTCTAACTGCTGAGCCACACCGGCCAGGGCTGCCTTTTAAGTTGGGTTGACAAAATGTTTTCATATGGAGGGTGCCAATGAGAAGGGATGATGTCTCCATGGCCTTTGGTTTTAGCAGCTGGTAGGATGAGCCATCAACCGAGATGGGGTAGTTGGTTGTGGGAGGAATTTTCACGTAGGTTCTCGCCATGCTGAGTTCTAATGTTCTAAGTGGAGGTGAACAGTGGGCAGCGAGACCACAGCTGTGGTATTGCGGGGAGCTGTAGTTAAAGGAATGAGAGACTGGATATACAAGGGGACAATGACCCGACCATATAGAAGAATAGATTTTTACCCACAGTCTGCAGCAACCTGCCCAGAAAACCAACCCTTTATCTATAATAAACAGCCCAGGAAGCCCGCCGGCTGGATGTCAGACTTGCAGGAAGTCAGATGGCAGGATCTCTAGTGACCACCCAGGAAGCTGAACAATAACCTCTGTAACAACTGGCCCCAAGTGGCCAGCTCTTGATTAGTACATGATAGCCTCTATAATTTTTGTTCCCTCTTCTAACTTAGGTCCTACTAGAGAAAGTCAAATATACACCCTAACCAATCACATAGGATGCCCCACTTCTAGTTAGCCTGCCTGCATGTCCCCCACACCAACAGGGCCCATCGGCAGCCCCCCCACCCCCCACCCCCGTCCACTCTAAAACTCCCCACTCCTCCGCCTGCCTTCGAGTCTGCCAAAACATAAGCGACTGTGGCCGACTCCCTTGCTGTAGCAAGCTCAGAATAAACAGCATTTGCGTTTCGCATTGGGTTGATCTTTGTTTATCATCACAGTTAGAAACATCCAAAATGTGGCATCTGGTGTGTGGACAAGGGTGTAGCTGTCTGTCCGATTTAGGAGAGTGACACCTCGCTCCTGATGGCAGTGACCAGGAGGGTGGGCCTGAGAACTGAGGACCGCGTATTTCGTATTTCGCTTGGTCACCATGGTTGGCATGTTCAGCATCATAAGGACAAATGAGGTCCGGGCGGTGTGGCTCAGCGGTTGAGCATCGACCCAGGCACCAAGAGGTCACTGGTTCGATTCCCCGGTCAGGGCACATGCCCAGGTTATGGGCCCGATCCCCAGTGGGGGGCATGCAGGAGACGGCCAATCAGGGTTCTCTCTCATCAATGTTTCTATCTCTCTCTCCCTCTCCCTTTCTCTTTCTCTAAAATAAATAAAGAAAAAATTTTGTTTTAAAAAAGGACAAATGAGGAAGAGTAGTGGTGCTTATAGTGGGGGGGGGGCTGTATAGGGAAAAGGGGACCTGGCAGGGAACCAAACTTCCTGGGGGTGGAGATGAGAGGTGCTGCGGCTTAGTCCTCATGGAAGTAATAATCCGGGGAGGCCGGGCTGCTGCTTGTTCCCACGTCTGACTTCTCACCAGGCCCTGTGGTGACTCTCGGTGGGCCTGGGGATTCTCAGTCAGGCCGGGAAATTAGCTCAGGGGAAATGAGGTCAGCGGGGCGAGCCACCAGCCCCAGGGTAGGTAGGGGTGGGAGGACCAGGGGGTTGGCTTCGGAATGCGTGTGATCGGTGAAGCCACAGAACGTGAACGGAGCAGAGGAAGAGGGCCGTGGGGATCGGATATCTGTGTGTGGATCCGGGTGGCTTAGGTTGGAGCCAGGAACTGGGGCAGGTGGGATCATGGTTCTGTTTGCCGAGAACTCTCTGGGTGCGTGGTGCAGGCTGCCAGGTGGGAGTTCATGCAGATGGCTGTGATCAGGCTGGGATAGGGAGAGGGCACCCTGATAACGGGGTGCCGTGGTGAGGTGCAGGGTTTGAGGAAGGTGCAGTCCAGAAGGTGGTATGCATTAGGGAGCGAGTGTGAGCTGCTACTGGAGATTAAGGGAGAAGACTGAGCCCATGTTTGTTTGCATCTGGAAGGGATGACATTGGTCACACTAGGGGAGGGGCCCATAGAAGAGGGAGTTAGGTCCTGCACTTCCGACCCAGCTTAGTGGGTCTCTCTGCCCACCTGCCTATCAGTGGGCTGACCTAGCAGTTATGTGAAGCCTGCGAAGAGTATGCACCAGCCCTGGCTAGTTTGGCTCAGCGGTGAGAGCATCAGCCTGCGGACCAGAGAGTCCCGGGTTCGGTTCCCGCTAAGGGCACGTACCTTGGTTGCAGTTTGTCCCTGGCCCCAGTTGGGGTTGTGCGGGTGGCAACCAGTCGATGTGTGTCTCTCACATCAATTTCTCTCTCTCTTCCTCCCTCTCTCCCTCCCGCTCTATCTGAAGATAAGTGCAAAAATGTCCTCGGGTGAGAATAAAAAAAAAAAAAAAGAGTGTGGAACCAGGGCCTGGGACCCCCTCTGAACTGGGGAGCTGGAGACGAGGGTTAGCAGGGACAGACCAGGAGTCCCAAGGAGAGAGGCTGATGTTGAATGGACTATCCCCATCATGGCAGGGCTGTGTGACCTTTGAGGACGTGACCATTTACTTCTCCCAGGACGAGTGGGGACTCCTCGATGAAGCTCAGAGACTCCTGTACTGCGACGTGATGCTGGAGAACTTTGCCCTCATCGCCTCTCTGGGTAAGGCCTTCACCTGCACCTGGGTGTCCTGAGCTCGTCTCTTCCTGTCCCCTTGTCCCAAGACCCAGCATCTTCCTTCCCAGGGTCAGACCGTGGGTGCAGCTCCCTTCCCCACCCCTCTGGTGTGTGTGCTGTGGGTTCCAGGGGTGAGCTGTGTGGAGGGTCCCATCCTATTTCTGAGCAGCCCCAACCCCTGCGTCCCCGAAGCCTTGTGGGCAGAGGCCAGCAATGATGGGTCCTGTCTGTCTCTGCCTGGTGACCGCCCGGATCTGTGACAGTTCTGTCCTTAGCTAGCTTCCTACGGCCTACTGCCAGGACTCCAGACGCCCGCATGGCTACTACTTGCTGTGACCACTGCCGGGCCTCCCTTGTGTGTTGCTTTTGTAATATTTTGTTGTCTTTCCCGTGGTTTCTGGTGGGGTAGTTCGCCTGGACCAGTGCTAGCCATTTACCCGCCCTCTCTTTCCCTCAGGTCTTACATATTTCAGGTCCCATATAGTTGCCCAGCTGGAGGCGGGGGCAGAACCCTGGGTGCCCGACAGGGTGGACATGACTTCAGCCATGGCAGGAGGGGCCTATACTGGGCCTGGCTCTGGTAAGTGGGAGATGGGGGGACATGTGATGTCACTACTGTCTTCGGATCATACCTGCAGCTTTTCTCGTGTTTACCATTGTTTCGATGCGAAAGCCAATGGCCGTGTCTCTCTTTCCCATTCTTGACGCGTCGCCCCCTGGCTTTCTGCTTTGACACGGCCCCTCCTGGGGCCCCGCCTTTCTGGCCTCCGCGTCTCGCTCTTTCCACAGCTCCCTCTGCTGGCCTCTCCGACACGGGTCTCTACGAACTGTGCCCTGAGATGCGCACACTGCTTTTAATAGTCCTGAACCCTAGCTCCGCAGTTGCAAGCAGATTTTCCTGAGCCTAGACATACCCTGCTGCACAGGGCGACCGTGTCGCCAGCAGCTAGGGTCTTGCTGAAAAGCCCTCACAGAGAAGTGGTTGAAGACCCTGCCTTTCTGCCCATTACCGTACCCCGTGCTTATGTCTTTGGTCCTGGCGAAGCCTCCGTCCCTGTTTGGTAACCTTGCCAGGCACCGTACTGCAGAGCAGACCACTCCTTACCCTGACCTCAGGCCCCTCCTCCTGCCGGTCATCCCACGGACACATCCCTGGGGACACGCACTTAGCACAGGGCCGTCTCCTTCTATCCACGTTCACGTGAATTTTACCAGCATTTCGTTACTTGCAGATCTTTGTCGTGGAACGAAGGGTGAGGAGTCACCTTCTGAGCACAGTGTTTCTGTAGAAGGAGTGTCACAGGCCGGGAATCCCAAGGCAACTCTGTCCACCCAGAAGGACGGCCCCTGTGACGTGTGCGACCTAGACTTGAAAGAGCTTTTGCACCTGGCTGATCGTCAGCCACCACCTCCCAGGCGGAAACCGTGCGTGCGGGGGGCAGGTGGGAGGAAGCCCGCGCGCAGGGCACACCTTCGCCAGCCCGAGAGGCAGCGGGCGGACACGGCTGTCAGAAGGGAGGAGGGCAGGGCCTCGCTTGCGAGGAGCCGCAGAGATGACACGTCGGAGAGACCTTTCACATTCGGGGAGGGTAGGAAGGACTTTGTGGCCAGATCTGGCTTTCCCCAGCATCCGCCCACTGACAGTGTGGGGGCGCCACACCAGTGCACCAACGGGGTGGGGGACTTTCACACTGACCAGAGCCATAGCAGGTCCAGTGAACTTGGGGATGGTCTCAGTGACAAACCCACATTTGCTCAGCACCAGAGAACCCACACTAGAGAGAGGCCTTATGAATGCAGCAAATGTGGGATATTTTTCAGCCACACCACTGGCCTCTTCCAACACCAGAGAGATCACAATAGAGGGAAGCCTTATGAATGCTGTGAGTGTGGGAAGTTCTTTAGCCAACACTCCAGTCTCATTAAACATCAGAGAGTTCACACCGGTGAGAGTCCTCATGTGTGCAGTGACTGTGGGAAATTCTTTAGCCGAAGCTCTAATCTCGCTCAGCACAAGAGGGTTCACACGGGCGAAAAGCCTTATGAGTGCAACGAATGTGGGAAATGCTTTAGCCAACGCTCCAACCTCATTCATCATAAGAGGGTTCATACTGGTAAAAGCGCTCATGAGTGCAATGAATGTGGGAAATCTTTCAACTGCAACTCCAGCCTAATTAAACACTGGCGCGTTCACACCGGAGAACGACCTTATAAATGCAACGAATGTGGGAAATTCTTCAGCCACATCGCCAGTCTCATTCAGCATCAAGTCGTTCACACTGGCGAACGGCCTTATGGGTGCAGTGAGTGTGGGAAAGCCTTCAGCCGAAGCTCCGACCTCATGAAACATCAGAGAGTTCACACTGGTGAGCGGCCTTATCAGTGCCCTGAATGTGGGAAATCGTTCAGTCAGAGCTCCAGCCTCAACAGCCATCGGAGACTTCACACTGGTGAACGGCCTTATCAGTGCCCTGAATGTGGGAAATTCTTTAACCAAAGCTCCAGCCTCAATAACCACCGGAGACTTCACACTGGCGAGCGACCTTATGAATGCCTCGAATGTGGGAAAACCTTCAGACAGAGGTCTAATCTGAGGCAGCACCAGAAAGTTCACAAACCAGATAGGCCGTATAAGTGCAGTGAGTGTGACAAAACCTTCGGCCAAAGGGCTACCCTCCTTCGACATCATAAAATTCACAGTAGAGAAAGGAGTGCGGAGGACATGCTTCCTCCTTCAGCGCGACAGCACACACTGGAGGGAAACTCCGAGAGCAGCCTTCATGGGGGAGCCATCCTCCAGAAATTGAACCTTGCTCGTCCAAATAGTCACACTGGGGAGATTCCCTACAAATGCTAGAGACGTTGGAAGCTTTCTAGAGCCGAGTTGTATGTCCTGACCATGGACTTGACCGGTGTTTGTGGCGGAAACCACCTCAGCTTTACCTACAGGCAGGTCTCCCGAGTGTGTGGCAACCACTCCTTGTGCTCAGGGAAGGCAGACCTCTGGCTTCTCACATGACTCTCTCTTTCTACTAGGGAGTCGTGAGTAGCCCATGGCTAGTAAGAATGCCTCGTTCCCTCCTGTCGTGACTGGTGTCGCTGTGCACATGACCCACCTTTGGCCATGAAGACCTGAGCTGGGTTCTGCTGGCGGCTTGCTGAGAAGCCCTCCCTTTTTCAAGGACATTGTTGATCTCGTGATGCCTGTGACGAATTTATCCAGCTTCCAAATTACCCTTCCCAACAACTACCTGCCTTACATTGGTTTGGGTGATAATAAGGGTCTTATTGATAAAGTCACCTTTAATCTTCCGCATTCTGATCACCGTGTGGAATATGTTGAGAACGGAATGAAGGTCTACCAAATTAAAGAGGCCTCCAGATGTACTGTTTCAGAGGGAAGAGCAGGGTGGCCGAGGGCAGCTCTCGGTCCAGATTTGACCTCATTTGTATTGGTATTCAAGGCCTTCTAGGGAAAACTGTAGGGCTTTGGGGAGCTAATATTATGGTTTGGATGGCATGAATTTTTGTGGACCAGAGACTGCCCTGAGGAAGGGGCATTTGTGACAAACTCCAGTGCATCTGCGAGGAGCATGAACAAGCCCCTTGCTTCCAGGGGACGCCTCATGTTTCCTTGCACTGTTAAACCGACACTGTTTACCTGGCATCTGCCAAGGAACCGTACACCTTGAAGTCTAACATCTGGTATATAGGTCTCTCTGACTGTAGGTCTTACTGGGGCCCAGAGGGACCATAATTTGTACAGAAATGCTGGGGGGTTATAATGGAATAGGTGAGACTACAGAAAACTAGAGGGAATATGCCTGTTTTATTTTATTATTATTATTTTTTTATCCTCACCAGAGGACATTTTTGCATTTATCTTCAGATAGAGCGGAAAGAGAGAGGAAGGAAGAGGAAGAGAGAAACATTGATGTGAGAGAGACACATGGACTGGTTGCCAGCCACCCAACAGGGGCCGGGGACAAACTGCAACTGAGGTATGTGCCCTTAGCAGAAACCAAACCCCCGACTCTCTGGTCCACAGGCCGGTGCTCTAACCGCTGAGCCAAACCGGCCAGGGCAGAATGTGCCTGTTTTAAAAGCACATCCACAAATGTTCCCTTGAATCTAACTGCAGGACTGAGGCTTTGCAGAAATTCTCACGACCTCCAGACCTCTGTCTTATGAGTAAGGCTACTGGCAGAGCAAATACTCTAACAAGTTCTGTGGATGACTGCAGGCTCACTGCACTACTCGTCTCAGAGCCGTTGCTGCATTGGTAGAAAAGGGGGGACAGAGAGGAGGCAGCTCCTGTACTCTAGGGATGCAGCATTTGTGACGTAGCCAGCCATTTTTGCTGCCAAGGCAAGGAGGGAGAGAGAGCGGAGTCCATTTATAGGGCTGCCAAATCTTCCAGTTTTCTAAAATGAATGGAGACCAGATTTTTATGTGCAACAATTTCTTTTAATGCTTTGTTTGAGATAAAATTGTCAGGCAGCAATTAACTGTACATACTTAATGTGTGCAACTTCAGAAGTTTTTAAGTATGTATACACTCAGGGAATCCCCACTAGAATCATGCTAACAAACCTACCCATCACCCACAGAGCTACCTCGTGCCCCTGTATTATCCCTTTGTCTTCTCTAGGAAACCATTAGCCACACACATCCCAAGGAATCAATTGATTTACCTTTCTTTTCACATGGATTTGTTTATCTTCTGCAGAATTTTATACAGTTGAAATCATAAAGTAGTTATACTCTGTCTTTGGTGCATTTTCTTTCATACAGGATATTCATACCGGATAATTATCTTGACAACATCCATCCTGTGTGCCTGGGTAGTTCTTTCCTTTTACTGCTGAGTAGTGCTCTGTTGAATGAATCTACCACAATTTGTTTATGCTTTATTTTGTAAATTAAGATTCTGGTAAAATATACATAACAAAATTTACCATCTTAACTCTCTGAGTACACGCACAGTTCAGTGGTACTAGGTATATAATGCTCAATCGTCACCACCATTCATATCCAGGACACTTTCATCTTCTGAAACTGAAACTACACCCATTAAGAACTCCCAACCCCTCCTCCCAAGTCCCTGGAAACTGCCATCCTACTTTCTGTCTCTATTCATTTGCCTGCTCCAGGTACCTCATATATGGAATGAAAGAGTATTTGTCTTTTTGTCACTGGCTAGTTCACTCAGCACAATGTCTCCAAGGTTCTTCCATGTTGTAGCATGCGTCAGAATTTCGTTCCTTTTTAAGCCAAAATGTACCATTGTATGTATATGCTATATTTTGCTTATTCACTCATCACTGGATACTTGGTTTACTTCCGCCTTTTGGCTATTGTGAATAATGCTGTAATAAACGGGTGTACAGATATCTCTTTGAGGCCCTGTTTTCTTTGGGGTATATACATGGAAGTAGAATTACTGGATCATATGGTAATTCTATTTTTAATTTTTGAGGGACCTCCATAGTTTTCCACAGTAGCTATACTATTTTACATCCCCACCAACAGTATCCAAGGGCTCTAATTTTTCATATCTTCACCAATACTTGTTTTTTCTGTTGTTTTTTTATAGTATCTATTTTAATGAGTGTAAAGTGGTATCTCATTGTTTTGATTTGTATTTCCCTACTGATTCATGATAGTAACCATTGTTTCATGTACTTATTGGTCATTTGTATATCTTCTGTAGAGAAATGTCTATTCAAGTCCTTTTTCCATTTGAATTGAGTTTGTTGTTGTTGTTGTTGTTGAGTTTTAGGAGTTCTCTATGTATTCTGTATACTAATTCCTTATCAGATGTGTGATTTATTTCTATTATCTCCCATTCTATGGGTTGCCTTTTACGCTGTTGACAGTTTCCTTTGATGCACAAAGATTTTTAGTTCTTCGTGAGGTCAAATTTGTTTATTTTTTCTTTTGTTGCCTGTGATTTTGGTGTCATATCCAAGAATTATTGCCGAGTTCAATGTCATGAAGCTTTTGCCCTGTTTTCTTCTAAGTTTTATAATTGTAGGTCTTACATTTAGGTCTGTGACCCATTTGGAGTTAATTTTTGTATATGGCGCTAGGTAAGTGTCCAACTTCATTCTTTTGCATATAGATATCCAGTTTTCCTATTGATCTTAGCACCCTTGTCAAAACTCATCTCTCACCCGGGTTCGGTTCCCGCTAGGGGCACGTACTTTGGTTGCAGTTTGTCCCCGGCCCTGGTTGGTCGTGCGGGTGGCAGCCACTCGATGTGTCCCTTCACGTCGATGTTTCTCTCTCTCTCTCCCTTCCTCTCTCTCCCTCCCACTCTATCTGTACAAAAAATGGAAAAATACCCTCGGGTGAGGATAAAAAAACAAAAAAACAACAAAAAAAAAACAACTCATCTCTCCATATAGTGCAGGATTATTTCTGGACTCTCTTCTATCTCATTGGTCTGTACATCTGTCTTTATGTCAGTACCTCTCTGTTTTCATTAATGTAGTTTTGTAGTAAGTTCTCAAATTGGGAAGTGTGAGTCCTCCATCAGTGATCTTCTGTCTCAAGATTGTGTTAGCTATTTGAGGCCCCTTGAGATTCCATACGAATTTTAGGATAGATTTTTTTATTTTTCTGTTTCTGCAAAAAAAAAAAAAAAGTATTGGGATTTTGATAAGGTTGCATGAAATTTGTAGATTGCTTTGGGTAGGATCAATATTTTAACAGAACACCTGGCCGGTGTGGCTCAGTGGTTGAGCATGGACCCATGTGCCAGTTCTGATTCCTGGTCAGGGCACATGCCCAGGTTGTAGTCCTGATCCCCAGTGGGGTCCTGCAGGAGGTGGCCAATTGATGTTTTCTCTCATAGATGTTTCTCCCTCTCTCCCTTCCTCTCTCACTAAAAACCAATTAAGAAAAAATGTTTAAAAAACCAGAACAAATAGAAAACAGAAAGCGAGCTTCTGGTTGCCCAGTTTGTCAGAAACTACAGGATCCACAAGGCAGGGCCCCGCACGTGGGAGCCGGGCACCCCGCCAGGCCACTGGCCGACAGGGGCGGTCCCTGTGGTGGCTTGGGCGGGACTTCCGGCGTCTGCTCCTGCAGGTCCGGCCGCGGCTGGTGTGTGCGCCCCTCGCCCGCTGGACGCCGCTCTCCAGAGGGTCTTCAAGACCAGCAAGGGACCCTGAGCCCCGGGCCCACTCCCGCGCTTCTGGCTGAGCCATGGCCCAGCGCTTTCCGGAGCCTCGGCACCCGCGCGGCCGCACAGCTCCCCCCGGCGGCGCCCTGGTTCTGCGCGGGCCGAGGGCAGGTCACCCCCTGGGCTGGCCCGAGGGGCGGGAAGCAGGCCGGGCGGGGCCCCTGGCGGCGCGGGCTCCCCAGCCCACCCGGCGCCGCAGGCACCGATCACCGGTTCCACCCCGTGATGTAGGGGATCCCGGGGCTCTGATGCTCCTGGATCTTGAGGTCCTGGGAGAAGGGGGTGTGGGAGCGGCAGATCTAATAGCTTCCAACCCAGGGTTCTGAATCCACACCGGGGGTTATAGGGAGAGACACCCCCCACTTCTGGCTGTAACCTTGAGCCTGCCGCTTCCCCGCCTTGGCCAATGCCCTGGCGTCTAAAACTGGAATATTGACAATTGTTCTCTCGGGGGAGGGAACTGGATAGGGTATAGGGTGGGGTGCCCCGCCCGTGCTCAGCGTGACCGCAATGCATTACTCTGGATGTGGTTTCTGGAAGGGAGTCCCCAGATTGTCTATTATCTTAGACCCACTCCACGGAGAGTCTGACCCCTCGGGCCTCCTGCTGCAGCCTTGACCCAGCTGAAGGCTGGGAGGGGGTGAAAGCCTGGAGGGCACGGGGAGGTGGCAGCAGCGCCTTTGGAACTGCCGCGCCTCTGACAGGAGTAGAAGTACCTGGACAGGCTGGAACTGGATTAATCTTTGCAGATGCCATCTGTGTGCCACAAGAAATGGGCTTGCCAGTTCAGCAGTGAGCCCCTTCTCCTGTTTAACACATGTGTTTAACACATGTACTTATATCTGAAAAGTGAATCCAGTACAGTATTCATCAACGGCAGTACCTAGGGACGGCGCGTCTCTTGGTATGTAAAGGGCGACAGGCCCTGCGTGACTCTCCAGCCACCGTTTACTCTCATCCCAGCTCTGATTACCTTCAGAACTTACTCATTTTTCCTCACCTGGCTTTCTCCCTAACTTCATTCCAGCCTTTTTCCAGTGTCTCCACATAGAAGTCTTCCCTGACTGTCCCATCCAAAGACGCCCCCCCCCCCCATCTTTGTAGTCATTTCACTCTTTTGTTGTTTTCAGATCCCTTAGGGTCATATGACTTTCTCTCGTTTATTTAGTTTCTTGTCAGTCTTTCCCAGTGAGCTCCTCTGCTCTATCCCCAGGCCTGGAACGGTGCTGGGCCTGTACCAGGGGCTCATTCAGGGGCTGAGGAAGGAGAGCCTGTCCTCTGGGGCTCCCATCATGCTTTGTTTAAATCTAAAGCCCTCACCATGGCTGGACCAGAGGGACCTGGGTTCAAATTTTGCTCCTTCTCATTAGACATACAACCCTGGGCAACTCGACTCTGAACCTCTGCTGATTTGGAAATGGAGACAGTCAGGGTGTTTACCTCCGGGTGGGACAATGCGTGAAATCGCAAACACACACCTAGCACTGACATGTTCTGGGCACTGCAGTGTTTGCATTATGAACCTTCTCCCTCTAATTCCCATAATCACTGGGTGAAGTGGGAACTATTATTTATTGGGGCTGAAAGAAATGAGCATGTGTTGGTTCAAAAGGCTGGACTGAA